AAACGTCTCTGAAGTATGTCGTATGAAATTCTCGACTCTTATTATATTTGGTGGCAAAGGATACACTTCTTTGTAATCCAACTCTTGTGGATACAAATAGATGTTTAGATACGGAGACCTCGGATGAAGGGCCGGGGGTTTCAGAGGTGGCGCGCCTTCTGATATGCAATATCTACTGACTTTCTCTGACACCCTAATAGCCTTATCCTTAATAATGTCATAATTCTTAATCCAATCACTTTTATCTCCATTTAATGGTAGTCCACAACCCATTGGAGGTATTCTCTCATCTTGAAGGAGTCCATGCGGTGCGGCTGAGTATAGCCATACCCAGGGTAGACCTGAATTGGTGACCGCTGGCGAACAGATATAGTTATCAGTGATGATTAAATCGGGATTTAATTTTAAGATTAACTTTTTGTACAGTTTATTGTGAACCATAACATCACTCAACTGTTTACTAAATCCAATGTCCATAAAATAACTCATAATCTCAGCCGGGTTTGTAAATTCCATAGCCTTTGAGTGCTGTTCCATAAACTGTGGCCAAAACTCTTGGTCTCCATTGTCCTCAACTGTTAGTAATTCTTCTTCGATACCAAACGGCTCTAACTTTCCTTTAAAGGCAACATCGATGGCAAACACCACTCGATGTCCACGACTTATAAGTTCTTCAGCCAATCCATGGGAACAGTTTATGTGTCCCCAAGCGTCCAATGGTGTGAACAAAATGGTTAGTCTTTTAGGTGACATCAATGAAGTTAATTGCTATGATTTATGAGAATTACACTCAAAATTGTACTAATGTTCAAATAATTAGTATTACAGAGTATTGAATTCAAAAAAATTTGCTGAACTTTATTAAATTACCAAAAGATATTAAAATATATAATTTTATTTCTAAACAATATTAAAATAAACTTATTTCTAACATTTGATTAGTGAATTACACTCATTATACTGAAATAGTGTGACTGTACTTAATGACATCTAAATATTTATAACAAATGATAAAATTATATTTAAAAAATTATCAAAAGAGTAAATCTTATAGCAGTAAATATCCTGTAAACAAATACACCCAATAAAATATTTCCTTAACAAACGGTATTTATTTTTAAAAACTTATATTGTGATAATTTTTTAAAATTTTATTTTACAAAACACTTTATCAAACACCAATCTTAATAATAACGTCATTTACAACATACATACTTAATAACTATATACGTTAAGTATATAACAATTTTAAGGCTAAATAGCATTCAAAAGCATTCAATTTCTGGCTTCAATGCCAACGATGACACGTTTTGCGGAGTTTAAGAATAAAGTCTTATTGAATTTGAGCGGAACATCCGTTTGTGAGGTCCTCACGATTTTGAATCGTCGGAGCACTTGAGCCAACCCCAGCTTTGCCTCCATTAACGCAAACCTCATACCAATGCAATTGCGAGGACCAGCACCGAAAGGTAGGTAAGTGTAGGGCACTATTTTGTGTCGGTTTTCGGGCAAAAATCTATCCGGAATAAACTTCTCTGCGTTTGGATAATATTCTTCACTCAAATGAATGGCAAAAGTCGGAATCTCGACTCTTTGGTTCTTATACAGGGTGATCCCAGTGTTGCCTAATTTATAATCACCATTTATACAGTTTCGAGAAAGTCTAAGAACTGGCGAATGAAGTCTTAATGTCTCAGAGATGACTGCATCCAAAAAGGGTAGTTTCGACAACAAGTCGTAATCAATGTCTCCCTTGGCGTCGACGGCAGACAACACTTCTTCGTATAGTTTCTGTTGGATGTCTTCATTTAAGGCCAATTCATACGTTGCGAATGTAAGGGTTGTTGCAGTCGTCTCATAACCCGCCTGAAAGAAGATCCAGGCCTGGGCTAGGATCTCATCTTCAGTTATATACTTCTTAATGCCATTCAATGTATTATTTTGTATTTCTAACTCTTCTTCGCCTAAAGAAATCGCAAAAATATATTAAATAATTATTTTAATTCAAATGAATGCAAACCTTCATTCACATGATGTGATTCGTGGGCATCATTCTCGTCGTGAATGACTTCGTTATTACTCTTCTCAGCATTTAATAGCAAATCAATGAAATCGTTGTATTTCTTATTACTATTCTTTCGCTGTTTAATCACATGTCGGGTCAGATTGAAAAAGAAATCGTTGGCTGACTCATCAAAAAACGATTGAATTCCCATTTTTCTGAGCACAGGTTTAGGCAACACTAAAACGGCTACCATTTTGGCCACTTTTACACTGAATATTACTTTTGCATTCTTTATAAACGGATTGTTTGGGTCCTTATGGGCATTGGTTTTGGTGGCGAAGGCACACGTGGCGATCACATCCATTGTATAATTGCCGTATAGTTCCTTCATATTAGCCTCCCGTCCCTCCTTGGCGTACGTATTTAACTCACTCAAGAACTCCTCCAAACAGCTTTTGATCATTGGATACATTTTCTTCATTTTGCCGGAACTGAACGTAGGGCTGGCCAGCGATCGCAGTCTTTTCCAGTCATCTCCGGTCACATCCACTAAATTCTTCTCTAATATGGGGTGAAGTCCTCTATCGGGATGTCTTTCCGGAAATAAATGAAAGTCTTTGACTAAAATTGTTTTAATTAACTCCGGGTCCGCGACATTAATGACCGGTTCGTTTCCAATATAAGTACTAAAAATATGATTTATCACTATTAGATGATAATTCAGATGACATAGTTCTTAAGACAATACATACCCATATAATTTTCCATATTTCTTATACCACTGGAGTTCGAATAAAGGCCTGGGTGTTATGAACTGACTCAATACGTTGCCGAACCCTATCAGTGGTTTCGGACCATTTATACCTCTTTTAGACCAATAATTGAAGTTTCTGGTCAAATACCTAGATACAAAAACACAATTATAAAATCATTCAAATAAATTCATTAAAAACAAATATAAGGCACAAACCAATAAATGATTGGAAGAGTGGACAGTAATGTATAAAATAAGTAGGAATCGAATATACTTAAATCCATTATACAATAGTTTATTATACTTATAAAAATTATAATTTTTCACTGAGCTATTAAGAAATGTATGTTCAGAATAATAATACATATTCTTATATAGATTTTGTTTAAACAACTCTGAATGCAATTAATTGAAAACTTGATTTTCTACATAGTCTCACGAAAATTCTCTAAATGTACTGAAAAACCCCACATGTATTACTTGTACTACTTGCACTCATTTTTGCTAAAATCCCTATATTCATTTTAAAGTTTTAAAATAAATATATAAATATTCTTTTTAATATTTTAATATAGATTTTTAAAAATAATAATTATTATATAAATTAATTATATTTATAAATTAATATAAATAATAAATATAAATTATATTTAGCTAAATTTATTTTATAAATGGCTTAATACCACGAAATACTGTATTAAATTAAGTATTACCGGTAGTATCATGTTTATAATTGTTGAGATCCTATCTACTATATTCCAGTAACAATTTAAGTACGATTTTCATAATCATATCACTACTGTATTTATTTCAGTGCAAAATATGATATGATTTTAATATCATTGAAAAGTACTGTAGGTATTTCAAATACAATTATAAGATGATATGATATTTATTAAATAAATAATTAAATTTAATTTGTTATCAAGTCATAAGGGAAATTAAGTTTAAATAATAATATTTATACTACTTTTTTAATAAAATTATAATCCAACTAAAACTCGTTCACCTTTTAAAGTACATTTACATTTAAGTATACAATTGTACTAAAAGTCCTCAAAACAATTAGTAGTACTCTACAAAAAAATCAATGCCATTGTATTAATCAAAATATAATTTGTAATGTAATTGTTTATTTGAATGAAGCAATTACTATATAATATAAATGTAGTAAAAATATTTTTTACAATCAAAATTATGACTATTAAGTGGATGTAAAGTATTTGCCCCAAAAGTGAAAAAATATATATAAGGTATGAAACAACAGGACTGCGAGCACCAGAACCGACGGCCAGGGATTGTCCCTTCCGTTCAAATTGATGTAAACCTGGAGCAGAAGAAATACATACGATATCTTCACAAAGAGTATCGCTTTGGCGTGCATTTTGTAGTTGATTTTTGACGGGATATACACGTGATATATCAGATACCTATCCACCAAATTCTTGAAAAACATATAAAACAGACCTAATAATGAATAGAAAAATAATTCTTATAAATAAAATCAAATCTAATTGACTATAAAGTTGAAAGAAAGTGAAATTAGAGTCCATAATAAAGTGTGTTGTGATAAGCATGTCATACCTACGGGTGCGATGAGTGGATTTGAAATACTGAAAGTGACCACAAGTGTGAAGACTAGTAATACTCTGGGATAATAAGTGCCGAAATGAAACTCAAATCGTGTCAATTGTCGGGCTCTGAGATATTCTGCGGGACTTCTGGACATAAGGATAATACATATGAGATATGATATGAGTTCTGGTATTCGTGTCAACTCGAGAGCGTTGCCGAGTGTGGCGGCGGTCAACACATAGTTTATAAAAAACGGTCCGTTTTCTGTGGGGAACATACAGTGCCAACTAATCTTATGCCATTCCCACCATGACTTCAATGTGGCCCACAGTCTGCTCATAAAAACCAAATGTTTGAGATATTTGTCAAGAAGTGATTCAATATTAGTTTTTAATCACGTTATGCTCTCAAGTGATGGCAAAATGAGGACCATTAGTATGAGATATATGTATGACTTATACATAATCGCGTGATTGTAATCGGATTTTGTGTGGAAAGGTATGAATTGTGTCAACAGTTTGATGACAGTCGGCAGAAGTGATGCCATAATCATCAAAGTTAATGTCGGTATATATGAGTAAAACATTGCTGTCTTTAATACAAAATATTTGAAATTTAAATAATAATTTATTCTTATAAAAAGCAATTGTATTTCAATGTCTCAAATACTGACCACTTTATCGTTACTTTTGGTCAAATGAGGCACTTCTTCAATAGTCTCATTGAGCGCTGGCATTGATTTGAGTAAATGAATGACAGAATAAGGCGTCGAAAGGAATAGGAAGACGACGACTATCAGCACATTGAGGAGGAAGTCTGAAATCATCAGTCGAGACCTGGCGGCAGATATGTCTGTCCTATTGGTCAGTTAAATACAAACAATAATTTCTCATTTGAAACTAAGACTAAGTCTAACGGAATACCATTCAATATCATCAGGAAATGGAGCGTAAGAGACCTGCCATAGCCACGAGTTCATTGAATCTGATTTATGACCACAAAGCCATTGCCTCAATACAGACAAACAATAGCAACAGCACCGGCGGTAGTAATTATAAACTCTGTAAATATTTGTTTGAAAACCAATTAATAAAACTTAAAACACTTATCAATCACTTACTCTTTGGCTTCAGATTTATCGCTGAACACAACGAATGCCATTCTTTGCGGTGTCGACACACATATCTCCAACTCTTTGTTGATACTGTCTTCGAGTTCTTGTTTCTCTTTCGTATAGAACTCGATTCCATCCACTTTTGGGAAGTGATAACAACAGCCTAATATACCCAATAGGTTTCCCAACGTGTAAGGCCTCACTTCGCACCTTTGCCCATATATTTGCAGATAATGAGCGCAATATTTTTTGGCTTCAATTGTGGTTAAGAGGCTTTTCATGAGCTCCAAAACTTTGCTGATATCGTAGACGAAAACTATTCGCACGATATATGTGTTGGGAAACTTGGTTTTGAAAAAATCAGTCAAAGATCTTGGGTTTCGCTGCGAGTTCGGAATATTCTCTATAATTAGTATTTTCTTATCGATGTTTATCACCCTTTGGCTGATAATCATTGAGTAGTTTTCCATCAAATAAATGCCCTTATGATAGAAAATTGTTTTGAAATTGAGTTTAAAATAAAAGCTCGTTAACCACTCTTACCATAAAGACCACCATAAGAGTCATGAAAGCGTGAACCCAAATGAGTGGTGATGTGTACCTAATATTGAGCATGGTCGTCTTCTTATAAGCCACATCTTCGAAGCCATCCAAACGGTTTCCGTATAAATTGATCGGAAGAATGATTAGCAGACATATGATTGTCAGACAAACCATCAAATACAAGAGGTATCTCTGAAAGAGCAGATATTGCAGTGCATCCACTCCTCGCTTCTGGAGTATGTCTTTGTCTTTGATTAACAGGTATTTAATGATCCATTCCGTGAGTGTCTTCGTGGTGTTGTCCGTCTTAAGTGAAGTAATTAATTATAGTCTAAATATAATTTAAATATCTTATCAATTAATTTCTCACTGGTTTTGGTGATTCTCTATCTTTTTGGGGACCAATTGACAAACTGATGACACTATCCGTATCATTCGCTTGCAGAACGGTCTTCAAGAGTGATAGTTGTTGTTCTTGAGGTTGGGTTGAGTCGGTTGGTGTGGTCGGCCTACTGTTTAGGGCATTCCGGGCAGATCGCGACCTAAGAGTCGGTAAGTTTCCTGTTTTGTCCAAATTTTCGATATTTAGTTTAGATTTGTTGTTCTTTTCGTCTTTTTGATTGTCTTCCGCATCAAGAGGTGGTGACCCAACAGTTGTGGTAAAGAGTTCAATATTGGACTCTTCGGGCTTCTCCTGGACTCTATCGGGGATGAGGTGATCATAACTGTGCAAAACGAGTGGTAGGTATGCCTTCGGATGGTTTCGGTTGATCTGTTTATCCGTGAAGTACTCGCTTTCACTCGACTTCTTGTTGTCGTAAATAAACTGAAGGAAACTATTGAACAGACAATTAATTGAATACATCTTCAGACAAATTGTATTCCCATTTACTCTGTATTCATGTGAGTCTTCACTTCCTTTGTGTACTGTTTCTCCTTAACGATAGATCGTCGCCGAAGAGCTCCGAAACCAAACAGAATTAACTGAAATACAGAATAACGAGAATTTGCTATATTTTAAGATTAAAGTTATAAAACACTCACTAATCCGAGACAGAAATTCATGATAATGGCGGTGGGGATGCCCTCCCATCCGGGCACCAGTGCTGACAGTGTGCTGTTGTCTGTCTTCAGGAGAGAGCACTCGTGTATCGCCCGATCACTAGCTCTCGGAGGCAATTGGTTTGTCAAGTCATTGATAAGACTATTATTTAATGAACTGAAGAATGAAAACCCAGACATTCTTCGGATTCTTCTAATGTATCGCTTTTATGACAAAATAATCACTTAATTTAGTAAACTATATAAAATGCGAAAGTGAAATAATCTAATGTTTAAATCTAATAACAATATTAACTAAATAGGTTTCGCGAGATTACGATCAAAAATATATACAGTATTAATTTTTGTGTTTAGAGTCTAAACTTTACAGTAATAATTTGTTTTCAAATAATTTGGCGTTTATTTTGTTATTTTTTCATGCAATTAATTTGTTATAAAAATCAAGTAAGATTTATTATTGCTAATTAAGTAGAATTTACAATAAGATTTTGTGGACACCTCATCCCTGTGTCACAAATAGATTATGAGAGACTGTATTCACTGTTTTGTGTAGTTTTCAATGAAAACTGTAAGACAACTGTAAATTCTTTACAAAATAAAATGCACTGATAATGCAGTGTTAGTCTTAAAGTTAACTTAAACTAGCGGTTAAAATATTGTCTCATTTGTGGATACACTTTTGAACTATAAATTGTGATTGCAATTGATGGCCAACAATGGATAACAAGACTTGTGATAACAAATTTGCGGTCACAAAGTCTGCTGAAGAGATCGAGAATGAGTCAGAAGTTAAAGCCATCAAAGAGGAGGTCAAGACTATTATCACCAAATGTCCACAAATACAGCAAATCAGTTCAATTTCATTCAAAGATAGTGAATTTGCCACTCAACAGGTCTACCACCAGTCTCTCTCTCTCTCTCTCTCTCTCTCTCTCTCTGCGGTATATTTGACACAATTGTCAATTGTCTTAATATATGCCACAATTAGTCCAAACCAATGGTCAGATGCGTTCATAACATCTCAATCGACGACCTCATCCGACACGTGATTCACAAGCGATGGAAACTAATGGTACCGCGGATTGTGGTGTTCATGGTCTCAAATTGTGGTCCAATTAATAACTGGAATAATAGCAAACAAATCAAAAGTTTTCAAAAGGGATTAATGAAAGTATGAGACTTTGAGTTGAAATGAAATACAATTTAAAACAATAATTGTTTGTCTGAAAGGCGGCGGAGAACACGAATATGTGGTTAATAGCGAACGGTGTGGACATGGGGTCGACCACTATGATAGGCGATGCGGTCAGGGATTACGTGACTGAAGCCAAGTATAAGAAAGGCGTTGAATATGAGAAGTCGTTCTCGAAATTCAATTTCATTGGTATTGCAGACGAAGAGATGTTGAAATACTCGCAGACAATCGTTTCCAGTCAAGAGGTGATCCATATATTTACAAATACTGTAATACATTTTTCTCATAAATTGTGACCACTTTTAGCCAACAATTATGGTCTCAACCGGACCGGAGAGTCGAGTGAAGCCAGAAAAGTATGAACTCAACCAAAATCTCACACATTATATACTCATCAAAGACGAGACCACCAATAAGTCGGGCGTCAATTCATTTCTCATTAAATTAATCACATTTTTGGCCCAAAATCAAAGTCAAACGCTTAAAGCGAAACAGAAGCTCATGGATGGACAGACAGATGATGACAAAGACTTGGTGTCTATCGAGAGAAATGAAATCCCCGTCGTTTCCATTGTAATCAAAGGCGGATATAATAGCTCTCGACTTGTATTACAACAAATCAAAAACAGTTTGCCTGTTGTTGTGCTGCGAGGGTCGGGAGGTTTGGCTGATCTGTTGGCGTTTGTTGACAACGAAATCCGTGACCGATGTATGAATGTATGGAACGCCGATTTTGTCGAGACATACCTCAAAGACCCTACATTTGTATTAAGCAGTCAGAAGAGACTGTTTGAAAACTCACTCCTACGGACCAATTGTATAGATTTTGTGGATCTGTTTTTGTCGCAAAAATTCAAAATCCGGACATTCATTACACCGAAACGTGTGAAGCGATTGTTCCGTAAAATTCATTCGCGAGAGGTTTGTATGTATTTCAGACATTTATCGCCAGAATATCATTTGATTATTTACTTAAGTACCCCTGTTGTGTTAACTTAATCCAATTACGTTTAAGACATTATATTTAGTATTCAATTATATAATAATAAAGCTGTAATTATATCCGTTCTTTGTATGAAGTTCTTTCAGACGGTGTGTTGGGAGACAATACTCGGCCGATCGCCCGATGAGAGACAGAGCAGTAAAACATTTATAAACCGTGAGCTCAATTGGTTGGCGGAGGCGAGCGCAGGGGTCTCCAACTTCTTGGAAGAGGATGAGCTCGACATGTATGTCACCCAACAGTTCATATGCTCAGAGAAAGTGGCCGAAAAAAAATCCCTCTTATTGTTGGTGTTGTGGGCAGTCCTCGACTTTCGTAAGGATTTGGTGGCGCAAAAAACCGCGGTAACGCTAGTTGGGTAAGTATACCGCGACTGTTATCGGTAGACAATGCTGGCCGACAGCACCATACAGTTCGAAGACGGCCTCAAGAATGAGTTGAAAGAAGAGTCCCAACAGTTCGTCACATTTGCGTCCAATGTATTAGACATTTGCTATAAAGACTCATTCGTGAGGACGAGTCATGTGCTCAACGAGTCTTCCAAAGAGTATAGTTTCAAACGGTATGTTTAATAGATTTAAATATGAATACAATACCGGTATATAGAATATTATATATAACTTATACCCTATATATAAGCAACAAATAGTAATTTCTAGATTACCTTTAAATATTTAAAGTCCGCTAGATTTAGCTGCTTTTGGTCGCTTTCGACAATTCTTTACACATCCGTCGTGTCAGAGATGGCTAACCGATAAATTCTACGGAAATATATCGGTTCGTGAGCTCAGGATCAATTGCTTTCGTTTGCCAACACTCATGAAACTGTTGCTCAGCGCCTACCTCCTGTTCCCCATCTACTTCTGGGTACGACTACCGAATTATGAGGGGGAGGCTGTGATCGGTGAAGAGGATTCAGAGGATGAGGACGAAGAGGTGGTTACCGGCCATAGACTCAGTAATAGTCATCAAAACTTAGCCAATCATACGAAAAATCTGAATGATTTGGACACCAGTTCCGCGTCTGGCGTGAGCACTGACTCCAACGACTCGAGTGAAGACAAGAGGACAACTGGTGCCGAGAACTCCATTCATAAGAAAAATACTGCAAATAAATGGAAAAGTAATATAAAACCCGAGATTAAAACGTTCAGTACTGAGAGCATTATGGAAAAGCTGGTCCTCTATCACCGACAGCCGCCCATTTGGCTACTGATCTACGAGTGCACCTCCCGTGGGTAGTGATTCAAGACCTTGAAAGTCAAGAAGATATGGAATATGAATAGGTATAAGTCACACCGACACGACATGGGGGCCACGCCTTTGAACATAAACCTAAATCACCAGCGGTTTTGGACGGCACTCATCATTGTTGACGACATACGACAGGCATATATAATGAACAAACTGATGGCCAATGTGTCGCTCACGTTCCGGACCTTAGAGATTGGATTTAAATTGTTTTTTCTAATCATTTATACAACCGATCGGGTCATGACTGGCAATGAATCCCCGTTTCTTACGCCGTACGGCGAAAAGATTTTACTGTCTTTGGCTCTACTCCACGCCTATTACATACTGAAGTTGTGTAAAAATGGGTAGAGAGGGTGAAACCCTGGTGAATATATAGCAAATTTTTATTACTATTATAACCTAAAACAATTGAAATATGCTGACAGGTAAAACCACTACTAATCAAAGCCTCAAGTATTGCAGGCCGTACTATACCCTGATAAGACTATCAATGAAGGAGTCTTTGGTGAACTCGCTTACAGGGCTTTCTTCTCACTTCTGTTAACTCCGATAGACGAGGCGCGGGGTAAGCCATTGCCTACTCAACCATTCATTTCTATATGAATGCCATTAATTCATGAAATTTGTTGAATACAGTGAACACGACGTGCGACAGTAACTATATGCGCAACACTGGCAACCATACAATGGACGTTCCCGGCCGTTGTTACGCCAGCTCTTACAGTCTCGAAGAATGTCGATCCCCTGGGGTTTGGTCCTGGATCTTTTTTATCACATACTTCCTACTATTAAAGATTATTCTCAATGCACTGTTGTTCGCCATATTCGCCGCAAGCTCTTCACGACTCGCCGCAGACACGGACACCATCTGGAAGTTCCAGCGCTACGGACTGGTCATGGAATTCACGAACCGGACCCCTTTGCCGCCTCCACTCAACTTCTTTTACTACTGCTATTGGATGTCTAAATGGTTTGAGTTTCGGTAAGTTATGGCTGGGAAGTGACTTCCTCGTTGACAACATACACGGCACGTAAATCACTAAGCAAAGATTACAATAAATAATAAATTATTTATAATATTAACAAAAAGTGTATTGAAATAGTAAATTGCTTTATTCACAGAAATTTATAGATTTATTCAAACCTTCAGTTGAGACCAAACCCCACAGCAAACATCTGGCCGAAGACGACTACACATACTTTAGACTACTGGCCACTCAGATATACGACGAACACCGCAACCATATGAGCGCCGAAACGATGGCATCCAATCAATACGACCACATTCTGGCCAACAGTATGGAAATGGAGGTCCAGAGGCGAGAACTGAGACAATTGAAGGGCAAACAGGCGGAGATGGAGAGACTGTTGCGCCAGACTTCAGTCAATTTGGAGTATTTCAAGCATTTCATCGCTAAGAAGACGGGAATGGATTTAAGCTCCGGTGGCGGCCCTAAAAAATTGGTTCACATATTCTCTCGCCAGTCGCCATACCCTAACACAACTGTCCACCGCTATCCCGTATCCGACAAATATGTCTCGTGGGATGTAATGTGGGTGGACTACGACCCCATTGCGTACACCAAACCCAGACAAGAGTTTGGCCTTTCATTTGAAGAGTTAGCTGATGAGGACATACTGGCCCTTCAGGTGAAAAAGTTGGAGAACCCTTCAATACAGCTACCGGTGTATGAATGGAACAGAGCGTCGACCAACGCGGCCGGCATTTCAGTGGACCGCCAATCGTGGGAAATATGTGACGACCAGAATATAATCTACAAATTGGATAACGGAATACCTGTCAACCCATTCGGCAGAACTGGACTCAGAGGAAAGGGCGCTCTATTGAGATGGGGTCCCAATCACTACGTTATGCTCGTTATAACGCGGTATTCATTTAAAATTTCTATACTTTTATATATATACCATAAGTAAAATAATTTATTTTTAAAATTAATTTAATTATTTTAGTATAAAAGACAATGAATTGGAAGTATTGGCGGAAAAGTTACATGGTGTGTTTAATAAGGTGGCACTACCGGTGTGCTTCATAGGGCGTGAGATGACATACACTGGACTGGAGACCCTCTTTCGTACTGCAGATTCGGAACACAAGAATTGGAAGGAATCCGAGAAAATGGTTAATTGGTTTCAATCATTCAGACAACAAAACACCAATAAAGACCCTAAGAGTGACACTAAGAATGATATCTTTAAATGCGAGCGACTTATGAAAGGCTACTTCGATGACCCCCTGAACACAGACCAGGCCTGGAAGGAAATGGAGTTGTGGCACATCCACTACACCACTGCCAGCCCCGCATTTAACGATCACATTCTCGATGGACTCGAGTGGCGCGAAGTGTCTGAAAGTTTCTTCTCTCTCCTATCCATCAGCCAATCAAATGTCATCCAAGAGATTGTCGACAAACTTAAAATCAACATCCGTTAGGTTTAATCATTTAATTGCCTTTGAAAATTAATATAAGTCCAAAATTAAATTAAGACAAATAAGAAACGAGAGTATTTATGACATTAAGTAACGAAAAATTTAAAATCAAAATATAAATTAATTATGATTAATTGAAAGTAATCTTAAATCCTAAAGATAATTTTATCACTTTGATTTATTATTGGTACATTATGTAACATAAGTAGTGTTTTAATAATTTTCATTTTCGGTAATTTTTAATTTCTTTTGAATTCTCATTACTCAATGTTTTTTGCAATACTCTTTTCAATGTTTATGAATAGTTTACTCTAAATGTATGTTTTATCACTAATTTGATCTTTATTTATCTTTCCCATTTTATATTCCAATATAAACTATTAAATAATAGGTTAAATAACGAAACTGTAAATTTTAGTGAACAGTATATTTCAAATATAATATTTACTGTGTTCATATAGTTTGGAAACTTGTTTACATTATTTAGATCACAGAATAATTTATATATGGTATATAAAATAATTTTTTTAATATTTACTATATAAGTACAGCCAATTTAAGTCACTAGAATTTTATTTGCAACATTTGCCACAAACAAATGATCACTGTTTGAAGACTATTGGTCACGTTTTTCGATGCCTACGATAACCCTTTTGGGTGAGTTCAGGAATGTACTCTTGTTCAACAGTAAGGGAACGTCAGTATTAGGACTTCGAAAGAATCGGTATCTCTTAATCACTTGAACCAATGCCAGCTTAGCCTCCATTAAAGCAAATCTCATTCCAATGCAATTTCGAGGGCCGGCGCCGAATGGGATATAAGAGTAGGGTTTGATGTTATGTCGGTTTTCCGGTAGGAATCGGTCGGGAATGAAATCATTTGGCTTTTCATAGAATTCCTCGTTAAGATGGACAGCATATATTGGGATTTCCAGTTGTTGTCCTTTCTTTAATGTAATCCCTGTATCGCCTAATTTATAGTCTTCAGAGGCCTGTCGTATAAGAATGATTGACGCCGGATGAAGTCTCAATGTCTCTGAGATGACTGCATCCAAATACGGCAGTCGCGCCAATAACAGCATTAGATAGAGAGGAAATCTCAGGTGACGTCAGTAGTGGAGAAGCATATCAGAAACGACACTCAGGACTAACTCTCGGTTAAGTATCCTTCGCTTTCATTCTCATCACCGTCAGCAGAGTATCCCCCCAACAAAGAAGACCCACGACTGGGCCAGGATTTCCTCTTCAGTGATATACTTGTCAACACTGCTTAAGATCTTATTCTCCACCTGTTTCTCTTCCTCACCTTTCATATCAAGCAAAATATTTTATTAAAAATACTTAAAACATTAACTTAAAGCTTATTCGTTATATAAATTATAAACACTAATAAATATGATTAGAAATGATTGCAAACCTTCATTCACATGATGTGCTTCACTGCTATCATTCTCGTCGTAATGGTTAACATCTTTGGTGTTATTATTAGTACTACTCTTCTGTGCGATGGCGACCACTAAATCCAAATACAAGTTTCCGCACCGGGGGTACAGCACAGCCACACTGAATATGGATAAGTATAAGGTATAGAAGAACTGAAAGTTCCAGAACTTAGTGATGGGTGCCCTCCACGTTTCGTAGATCAGTAGCCAAATGGGCGGCTGTCGGTGATAGAGGACCAGCTTTTCCATAATGCTCTCAGTACTGAACGTTTTAATCTCGGGTTTTATATTACTTTTCGATTTATTTGCAGTATTTTTCTTATGAATGGAGTTCTCGGCACCAGTTGTCCTCTTGTCTTCACTCGAGTCGCTGGAGTCAGTGCTCACGCCAGACGCGGAACTGGTGTCCAAATCATTAAGATTTTTCGTATGATTGGCTAAATTTTGATTACTATTACTGAGTCTATGGCCGGTAACCACCTCTTCGTCCTCATCCTCTGAATCCTCTTCACCGATCACAGCCTCTCCCTCATAGTTCGGTAGTCGTACCCAGAAGTAGATGGGGAACAGGAGGTAGGCGCTGAGTAACAGTTTCATGAGTGTTGGCAAACGAAAGCAATTGATCCTGAGCTCACGAACCGATATATTTCCGTAGAATTTATCGGTTAGCCATCTCTGGCACGACGGATGTGTAAAGAATTGTCGAAAGCGACCAAAAGCAGCTAAATCTAGCGGACTTTAAAGGTAATCTAGAAATTACTATTTGTTGCTTATATATAAGGTATAAGTTATATATAATATTCTATATACCGGTATTGTATTCTTATTTAAATCAATTAAACATACCGTTTGAAACTATACTCTTTGGACGACTCGTTGAGCACATGACTCGTCCTCTTGAATGAGTCTTTATAGCAAATGTCTAATACATTGGACGCAAATGTGACGAACTTTTGGGACTCTTCTTTCAACTCATTCTTGAGGCCGTCTTCGATGACATACCACGACAGCCGGTCGTAACAGATGGCTATTGTCAGCGCCATATGAATGGGTTGATCGCAATGGCGCCAAAAAACGCGGATTGGGACTCTTCTTTCAACTCATTCTTGAGGCCGTCTTCGAACTGTATGGTGCTGTCGGCCAGCATTGTCTACCGATAACAGTCGCGGTATACTTACCCAACTAGCGTTACCGCGGTTTTTTGCGCCTGGTTTAGGAATGCTTTCAGCTCCTGACGGGTGTTGTGGTTTAATAAGAGGGATTTTTTTTCGGCCACTTTCTCTGAGCATATGAACTGTTGGGTGACATACATGTCGAGCTCATCCTCTTCCAAGAAGTTGGAGACCCCTGAGCTCGCCTCCACCAACCAATTGAGCTCACGGTTTATAAATGTTTTACTGCTCTGTCTTTCATCGGGCGATCGGCCGAGTATTGTCTCCCAACACACCGTCTGAAAGAACTTCACGAATAAAATTATAGTTTTATTATTATATAATTGAATACGAAATATAATGTCTTAAACGTAATTGGATTAAGTTAACACAACTGGGGTACTTAAGTAAATAATCAAATGATATTCTGGCGATAAATGTCTGAAATACATACAAACCTCTCGCGAATGAATTTTACGGAACAATCGCTTCACACGTTTTCCACATTACTTACAGGCCTAAAACTTAAAAACGCTGTTTTTGTCTAGGTGTTTTAGATATGTTAACCAGGCATCCTCACTCAAAAGTTTGTCAGAGAAGACTGACGAATTATGTTTACATCCCAGAATTGACAGCACTTCCTGTTTGGCCACCTCTGGACAGCTCCAGTCGACACATAGATTCAAGTCTTTAGCGGTGGTCAGGTTGGCCGGTGTCACCTCAGTCCCGGGATGTTTGGGCTGTTTTGATCGAAACAATGCTAACAATAAATACTCCGAAAGTTTCTCCAAATTACAGGATTTCCACAGTTTGTATAATTATTGACAGTCTTTTGAAACTAGAAGAAATGCTGAGAGTGCTTAGCTAAGGTCTTAAGCTCAGGACTTACATAGCGTTTCGTTATTTAACCAGGGATTAAACCCTTTGGTATCAATGATTTTGATGGTCAGCTCCGGCTTGAGGTATGTCTCGACAAAATCGGCGTTCCATACATTCATACATCGGTCACGGATTTCGTTGTCAACAAACGCCAACAGATCAGCCAAACCTCCCGACCCTCGCAGCACAACAACAGGCAAACTGTTTTTGATTTGTTGTAATACAAGTCGAGAGCTATTATATCCGCCTTTGATTACAATGGAAACGACGGGGATTTCGTTTCTCTCGATAGACACCAAGTCTTTGTCATCATCTGTCTGTCCATCCATGAGCTTCTGTTTCGCTTTAAGCGTTTGACTTTGATTTTGGGCCAAAAATGTGATGAATTTAATGAGAAATGAATTCACGCCCGACTTATTGGTGGTCTCGTCTTTGATGAGTATATAATGTGTGAGATTTTGGTTGAGTTCATACTTTTCTGGCTTCACTCGACTCTCCGGTCCGGTTGAGACCATAATTGTTGGCTAAAATTGGTCACAATTTATGATAAAAATGTATTACAGTATTTGTAAATACATGGATCACCTCTTGACTGGAAACGATTGTCTGCGAGTATTTCAACGTCTCTTCGTCTGCAATACCAATGAAATTGAATTTCGAGAACGACTTCTCATATTCAACGCCTTTCTTATACTTGGCTTCAGTCACGTAATCCCTGACCGCATCGCCTATCATAGTGGTTGACCCCATGTCCACACCGTTCGCTATTAACCACATATTCGTGTTCTCCGCCGCCTTTCAGACAAACAATTATTATTTTAAAATTTTATTTCATTTCAACTCAAAGTCTCATACTTTCATTAATCCCTTTTGAAAACTTTTGATTTGTTTGCTATTATTCCAGTTATTAATTGGACCACAATTTGAGACCATGAACACCACAATCCGCGGTAC